CCCTTGGTGTCCATACATTTGTTCTCTACATCTGTGTCTTTGTTTCTGCCCTGCAAACCAGTTGATCTGTACCATTTTCCTAGGTTCCACATATATGCATTAATGTACGATATTTGTTTTTCTCTTTCTGACTTACTTCACTCTGTATGACAGTCTTTAGATCCATCCATGTCTCTACAAATGACCCAATTTCATTCCCTTTTATGCCTGAGTAATATTCCATTTGTATATATGTACCACATCTTCTTTCTCCATTCGTCTGTCTATGGGCATATAGGTTGCTTCCGTTAACTGGCTATCGTAAATAGTGCTGCAGTGAACATTGGGGTACATGTGTCTTTTTGAATTATGGTTTTCTCTGGGTATATGCCCAGTAGTTGGGATTGCTGGATCATATGGTAATTCTATTTTTAGTTTTTTAAGGAACCTCCATACTCTTCTCCATAGTGGCTGTATCAATTTACATTCCCACCAACAGTGCAAGAGGGTTCCCTTTTCTCCACACCCTCTCCAGCATTTGTTGTTTGTAGATTTTCTGATGATGCCCATTCTAACTGGTGTGAGGTGATATCTCATTGTAGTTTTGATTTGCACTTCTCTAATAATTAGTGATGTTGAGCAGCTTTTCATGTGCTTCTTGGCCATCTGTACCTCTTCTTTGGAGAAATGTCTGTTTAGGTCTTCTGCCCATTTTTTCATTGCATTGTTTGTTTCTTTAATATTGAACTGCATGAGCTGTTTATATATTTTGGAGATTAATCCTTTGTCCGTTGATTCATTTGCAAATATTTTCTCCCATTCTGAGGGTTGTCTTTTCATCTTGTTTGTAGTTTCCTTTGCTTTGCAAAAGCTTTTAAGTTTCATTAGGTCCAATTTGTTTATTTTTGTTTTTATTTCCATTACTCTAGGAGGTGGATCAAAAAGATCTTACTGTGAGTTATGTCAAAGAGTGTTCTTCCTATGTTTTCCTCTAAGAGTTTTATAGTGTCTCGCCTTATATTTAGGTCTTTAATCCATTTTCAGTTTATTTTTGTGTATGGTATTGGGGAGTGTTCTAATTTCATGCCTTTATATTTGGCTGTCCAGTTTTCCCAGCACAACTATTGAAGAGACTGTCTTTTCTCCATTGTATATCTTTGCCTCCTTTGTTGACCATAGGTGTGTAGGTTTATCTCTGGGCTTTCTGTCCTGTTCCATTGATCTATATTTCTGTTTTTGTGCTAGTACCATATTGTCTTGATTACTGTAACTTTGTAGTATAGTCTGAAGTCAGGGAGTCTGATTCCTCCAGCTCCATTTTTTTTCCCTCAAGACTGCTTTGGCTATTGGGGGTCTTTTGTGTCTCCAGACAAATTTTAAGATTTTTTTGTTCCAGTTCTGTAAAAACTGCCACTGGTAATTTGATAGGGATTGCATTGAATCAGTAGGTTGCTTTGGGCAGTATAGTCATTTTCACAATATTGATTCTTTCAATCCAAGAACATGGCGTATCTCTCCATCTGTTTGTGTCATCTTTGATTTCTTTCATCAGTGTCTTACAGTTTTCTGAGTACAGGTCATTTACCTCCTTAGGTAGGTTTATTCCTAGGTATTTTATTCTTTTTGTTGCAGTGGTGAATGGGATTGTTTCCTTAATTTCTCTTTCTGATCTTTCGTTCTTAGTGTATAGGAATGCAAGCGATTTCTGTGCATTAAATTTGTATCCTGCAACTTTACCAAATTCATTGATTAGCTCTAGTAGTTGTCTGGTGACATCTTTAGGATTCTCTATGTATAGTATCATGTCATCTGCAAACAGTGACAGTGTTACTTCTTCTTTTCCAATTTGTATTCCATTTATTTCTTTTTCTTCTCTGATTGCCGTGGCTAGGACTTCCAAAACTATGTTGAATAATAGTGGCAAGCATGGACATCCGTGTGATTTGGGACCTAGAATGTCTTTCAGTTGTGCGTGGTTTATATTCACCAACATTTTCAATATAATATTTTTCTAAATAGTCAACCACAAAAAACGAAGAACAGATTATTATATGAAATATATTAGTACGATCAGAAACTCATATTTCTGTTACCCATATAATTTTTTTTAATAAATTTATTTATTTTTGGCTGTGTTGGGTCTTCGTTGCTGCACACAGGGCTTTCTCTACTTGCTGTGAGCGGGGGCTGCTGTTTGTTGCGGTGCACAGGCTTCTCATTGCGGTGGCTTCTTTTGTTGCAGAGCACGGGCTCTAGGCATTTGGGCTTCAGTAGTTGAGGCATGCAGGCTCAGTAGTTGTGCCTCGCGGGCTCTAGAGCACAGGTTCAGTAGTTGTGGTGCACGGGCTTAGTTGCTCCACGGCATGTGGGATCTTCCTGGTCCCGTGCTCAAACCCATGCCCCCTACATTGGCAGGCAGATTCTTAACCACTGCACCACCAGGGAAGCCCCCATATAGTTTCTTAATAAAAATAAATGCAGCTTTACAAGATATTTTTTTGCAGGTTTTTCTCTTTTGATATTTAGTGCATGCTTAACTAAGTATTATTTTGAGGACATAATTAAAAGTAAAATATGCCCTGAAATATTGAAGTGGAAGTTTGAAGGCAGAATGGTCTGTAATCTAACTCAATAAATACATTAAAATTTTAGGTGTTTTTATTTTAATATGTATAGAAATTGTTATTGATTCACAGATTCTTCTCAGCCAATTAGTATCATAAATGTGAAGTATTTTATGTAAGTGAGTATTTAGGTGGGAGAAGTCTATATTCTGTAAGTCGTTGTAGCTTTCTTAATACATTCAGTTGTATATTTATTTTCTTAATCCTTGAATTTTGTTGGCTGAAGACTAATCTGCATTACAGTTGGACATTCAGACAATCAACAATGTTGCTAGACACTGAGATATATGCAGTGGATGTGCAAATTAACAGCCTGATGTACTATTTTGAAATTGTTAATGCAGTTTGTATGTAATGTTAACTTTATGTAATCTTACAAACATGTCAATGTAAATTCCAAATTGGCTGTGGAGGGTGTATATATATATATATATATATATATATACACACACATACATGGAGACATATATACATACAAATACTTGTGCATATCTATTTGCATGTGTGTATATGTGTGTGTGTGTGTGTGTGTATATATATATAATTTTTTAAAGCGGGGGGTTGGGTGATGTAGTCATTATTGGAATATGAATAAAATACATGTAGTGAAAGAAAATCCTAACTACGTGTAATGCTATCAGGAGCTTCCAGATAATTCTATAATAACAATAATAGATACAGTCTGTCACTGTGCTAAGTGCTTTGCCTGAATTGTCCAGTTTAATCTATTTAGTAACCTCATGAGGTAGATACTGTTATATTCAATTTAGAGGGGAAGAAATGGATTTAGAAAGGGTAAATAACTTGACAAAGGTCAAACAACTAGTAAGTATTTGTTTTAGTTTCTTATTGCTGGTGTAACAAATTACCACAAACTTAGTGGCTTAAAAATCCTTACAGTTCCAGAGGTGAGAAGTCTGCAATGGGTCTCTCTGTGCTGAAACCAAGGTGTTAGGGTTGTGTTTCTCCTGGGTGCTCTAGGGGAGAATCTGTTTCCTCCCTTTTCCATCTTCCAGAGGCTGCCCAAGTTCCTGGACTTGGTGGCCCTTTCCTCCATCTTTAGAGCCAGCAACATCATCAAGTCTGTCTCTCACTGCCACCTCTCTGGTTCTCTCTTCCAGTTCTCTCTTCCCCTTTTAAGAACCCCTGTGATGACAGTGGACCCACCCAGGTAATCCAGGACAGTCTACCTAGTTCGGGGTCATCTGATGAGCAACTTCAGTTCCATCTCTTACCTAATTCTCCTTCACCATGTGACCTAGCCTGCACATAGTTTCCAGATATTAGGTTCTCACCCTCTTTGGGGGCCATTACTGTGCCTGCCACAGTGGTGTGACCAGAACTGGTACCCACCTCTGTCTGCCTCTAAAGCTCTTCCTTGAGGAAGTTGAAGACCCCAACCCTGAGGTCATTTTTCAGAGTGGTTTTGCCCTTACTGAACATTATCTCAACAAGGGTTGGATAACTTTCATAATACTGAAAGTTTACCTTTCTCATTGTAACCTAGAAAGTGAGCTCATTTATAAATTGCAGGTGCCCAATACAGTTTAAGATGTTTAATTGGCAGAAAAAGAGGGGCATGATTAGGATTTAAATATAAGAATACTAAACACAGTGCCTTGTGACTTACAGAGATTTAAATAGTAAATATTGTCATTGAAAAGTTCCTACTACTTAGTTACTCTTAATGATCTGATTCCTGGTATTTTTGGCATTGCTTCAGACAGGAATCCATATTTTATTTTATTTTATTATTTAATGTTTTAAAAATAAATCTATTTTATTATTTATTTTTCGCCTTGTTGAGTCTTCATTGCTGTGCACAGGCTTTCTCTAGTTGCGGCGAGCGAGGGCTACTCTTTGTTACGGTGTGCGGACTTCTCATCATGGTGGTGTCTCGTTGCAGAGCACAGGCTCTAGGCGCGCAGGCCTCAGTAGTTGTGATGCATGGGCTCAGTAGTTGTGGAGCGTGGTCTCTAGAGTGCAGGCTCAGTAGTTGTGGCACACGGGCTTAGTTGCTCCGCAGCATGTGGTATCTTCCTGGACCAGGGCTCGAACCTGTGTCCCCTGCATTGGCAGGCGGATTCTTAACAACTGCGCCACCAGGGAAGTCCCAGGAATCCGCATTTTATATCTGTTTTTGCAATTTTGATAATGGTTAACTAACTCATTTCAAAGCTCTTCTTTTCAAACTGATAGCATTGGTTGCCTCCGAGGAAAGGAACTGGCCGTCTGAAAGATAGGGGCAGAGGGAAGGGTTGTCACTGTGTGTCCTTCTGTACTTTTTAATTTTGATAACTGTGAATATGTAAGCTTAACACAAGTAAGTAAAAGTGTTACATTTTGAAGTAGAATAAATGAACAGCTCCTATTTTTTCACTGTCTTCACTCTGCTAGGATCACCCATTCTGTGTCATTCTTTGAGGAAAATAAGTTCTCAAGGAGAAAAATCCAAACCCATCAAACAACCCCTTAAGAAGCCAAAGTTACCAGAAGGTCGTTTTGATGCACCAGAAGATTCCAATTTAGAGAAAGAACCACTGACAAGTGAGTAGAGTAAACCTCCTCTCTTAATTTTTGGTCTCAAAGAAAGTGTTTCTGTCATTGAGAAGCAAATGAAAGGAAGGAAGCATGTTATTGTTTATAATTCTTCATTGACAGTAATAAAGAACATTTCAACAATGAATAAAATTACCATACAGTAAGTCCTCTATATACAAACGAGTTCTGTTCCGAGAGCACATTCGTAAGTCCAATTTGTTCGTAAGTCCAACAGAGTTAGCCTTGGTACCCAACTAACACGATCGGCTATATAGTACTGTACTGTAATAGGTTTATAATACTTTTCACACAAATAATACATAAAAAACAAAGAAAACATTTTTAATCTTACAGTACAGTCCCTTGAAAAGTACAGTAGTGCAATACAACAGCTGGCACACAGGGGCTGGCATCAAGTGAACAGGCAAGAAGACTTACTGACTGGAGGAGGGAGAGGAGGTAGGAGATGGTAGAGCTGAAGGATTATCAGCAATAGGAGACAGAGGGCAAGCTGCACTTTCACTCACCCCTGATGTTGATGGAATGCACGTTCATATCTTTGAAAGTTTGCAACATGAAGGTTCGTATGTAGGGGACTTACTGAATTGACTGTCAGTATGTATGGGTTAAAAAAAAGATTTCCAGGTCCCTGGTAGTGATTGATTATGTTTGATTAATTTATTTATTACACCCCATTATTCGCATGGCAAAATATATGAATTAAGATGCAAATAACAGAAACTTACTTGAACAGACTTAAGCAGAAGGTAGGGTATGCTGTTATTAAGGTACAGGGAACAAGTGAGGCTCCCTAGGGCAGTAATGCTGCTGGGCCTTAGAAGAAGACTGGGACCTCAGGACTAAACACTGTATGGAAACCAGGGTGTTCTTCCTTCTCTTGTCTTTGGTACCTACTCTTCATTGTTTTCTGTCTCCATACTCCCTTCTGAGTCCACTGGGCAGAAAGTAACTGCTCCTAGTAGCTACTCAGTTCAAGAGAACAACAAGACTGAAAATACAATTTCTTAGTCCTGATTTCAGATTCCTTAAGAAGAGAGCTCCTTGGCCTACCTTGGATCAGATGTCCACAGCTAAATCAACCAGTGGCCAGTGGCCTGGTGAAAATGTGGTTGTTCTCACTGTAACTACATGGCTGGGGAAAGAGAAGGGGATGTTTTGGAGAATAAAGAGGTTTTTGGGCGGGAGAAGGGATGCTAGACTAAACATTATTTTGTATTCAGTATATATAAAATTTGTTTCATGTCTTAAAGCTTTTTTTTTTAAGTACTACTTTATTTTCATGTTATATCCTTTTGTACCTTTGAATTGTGGAAAATGTGCAGATATTAGCTATTCAAAAATAGCATTTCATACAGCATAAATGTAAACATACCACTTTGAAACTTTGGCAAGGCTGCCCTGCTTGTCCGGTTTTTCCAGTCTCATGAGCGCTAACCCATCTATGAAGTGAAGCATCCTAGGCAAGAAGATACCAGTAGAGGATACAGGGACCTGTGTCTGGAATTCTTCCTAGAATATAAAAGCTTTGGGGGTTTGCTCATTCATTAAATATTTCAGATTATAGCACTCTACCAAGCCCAATCTCATAACCAGATCAACCAGCCAAGGTGATGGAAGCTTTTAAAAAGTTGCCAGTAATCTAGAGGTAAAATTTCTCTTCAAAGGTTTTAGCTAAGCATAAAAATCTGAGAGGAAATACTTCCTTAAAATGTCTCACACAAAAGCAGCAGTCTCAGAAATAAACACTCACGTATATGCTTGATTGATTTTTGACATGATTGCCAATACCATTCAGTGGCGAAAAGGACAGTCTTTTCAATAAGTGGTGCTGAGAAAACAGGATATCCACATGTAAAAGAATGAAATTGGACCCCTTACCTTACACCATATTCAAAAACTAATTCTAAATATGTCAAAGACCTAAACTTAAGAGGGAAAACTGTAAAACTCTTAGAAGAAAATTGGGCAGACTCTTCATGTCCCTGGATTTGACAATGATTTCATGCATATGACACCAAAAGCACAAGCAACAAATGTGAAAATAGATAAATAAGACATCAACAAAATTAAGAAATTTTGTTCATATGAGAACATTATCAAGAAAGAGAAAAATAACCTACAGAATGGGGGAAAATATTTGTAAATCATATATTTGAAAAGAATTAATATCCAGAATAAAGAACTCCTACAATTCAACAACAACGAAAACAACCCAATTCAAAAATGGGCAAAGGGGCTTCCCTGGTGGCGCAGTGGTTGAGAGTCCGCCTGCTGATGCAGGTGACACGGGTTCATGCCCTGGTCCGGGAAGATCCCACATGCTGCGGAGCGGCTGGGCCAGTGAGCCATGGCCTCTGAGCCTGTGCGTCTGGAGCTTGTGCTCCGCAACGGGAGAGGCCACGACAGTGAGAGGCCCGCGTATTGCAAAAAAAAAAAAAAAATCTACATATGGAACAATTTCACTGGAAACTAGCAGAAAGACCCTGGTACAATCAAGACTGTAAAAAAATATCCACACATAATTGGGTAGGAAGGGAAGAAAAGTGATCAGGTCAGGACCTGTGCCCCTGGGAGAGGACTCAGAAGAAAATGGAGAATCCATGGCAGAGACCCACCATGGGCAGTGAGTGCTGAGAACCACAGATTGGGTGCCCTAGTCCTGGCGTCCTCCACTGGGGAGATGAGCCCCCTTGGCCGGTTGGAGGGCAACTGGGACTCCCAGGAGGGCAGAGGGACCTGGACTCCGCTTGTGAGGAGGGTGCACGCAAGCTTGGCCCAAAGGCAGGGCAGAGGGAGGTCTGCTCCAGCAGCTGCCAAGTCCTGCGGCGGCCTCATCATGCACCCCAGCCCCAAGCCAAGCCAACTCTCTGGGGCAGCCACTACCAGGAGGAAGACTCAGCCGTGGGACACAGCGGTGACCCAGCCCCAGGGTGGAGCCTGGGAGGGGTAGCGGCAGCCATTGTCGGCACCTACTCAAGTGGCACAGCAGAAGCAGCCCAGACCTCTGACAGCAGCTGGCCTGCCACAGCTCACTCCTGGTACACGCCGAGAGTCCACACGGGCCCCCCGCAGCGCTGCAGTGTGGCTCCACAGCCAGATGGAGGTGACGGGCTGGGGGCAGTGATCAGCTGAGAGGGTCAAAGTGGACTTGTACCGAGGCTACATCTGAGTGGAGCATGGGAAACAAATATGTGCACCTGAACAGGCAGTGAAGCAGAGACAGCTCAGACCTCTGTCTGAGGCTGACATGAGCGGAGAGCCCACACAGGCCCCACTCACTTCAGCACTTCCTGCTCTGGGGCAAGGAGAGAGGAAAAGACCCACTTAATGGGAACAGAGCCAGCTCATGCCTGACCCTCAGGGCTTCTGCTCCAGCAACCTGGGATCAGACCCCACCCCTGATAGGACAGTGACAGCCACCTAGCAGAGGGGAAGTCCTGCCCCACACCTGGCTCCATCTCTAGCCCCTCCACCAGCAGGCCCACCTCCTACCAAGGAGATAGCTGTCAGCACACCCTGAGGAAAGACATGATTTGCGTCCATGTCAAATTCAGTTCTCCCACAAAAGGCATTGGGCACACGCAGTCTGTATAGGGACACTCGTACATAAGAACACTCCTTCAAGGTAACTTTCACCTAAATTCACAGAGGCAGGAAAAGTTAAGCAAAATGAAAAGGGAGAGGAACTCCTCTCAATTGAAAGCAGTAGAAAACCCCTGAAAAAACCATTAATGAAACAGTTGACTAGATAAAGAATTCAAAGCATTGGTTATAAGAATGTTAACTGAATTAGGGGGAAGAATACATCTACACAGCAATGTTTTTTAACAAGGAACTAGAAAATATAAAAAAAGACCCAATCAGAAATGAAGAATTCAATAGTTGAAGTAAAAAACACACTAGAAGGAATGAATAATGCATAAGTGATCTGGAAGATAGAATAATGCACATCACCCCATCAGAACAGCAAAAAGAAAGGCAGTTTTTTTGTTTGTTTTTTTTTGCAGTACACGGGCCTCTCAGTGTTGTGGCCTCTCCCGCTGCGGAGCACAGGCTCTGGACGCGCAGGCTCAGCGGCCATGGCTCACCGGCCCAGCTGTTCCGCAGCATGTGGAATCTTCCCAGACCGGGTCACGAACCCGTGTCCTGTGTCGGCAGGCGGACTCTCAACCACTGCACCGCCAGGGAAGCCCAAGAAAGGCAGTTTTAAAAACTGAAAACAGTCTAAGAGATCTCTGGGATAACATATAAGGAGCCCAGAAGGAGGAGAGAGAGAGAGAAGGGAATTGAAAATGTATTTGAGGAAATTGTGACTGAAAACTTCCACAATCTGAAGAAAGAAACAGATATTGAGGTACAGGAAGAGGGTCCAAACAAGATGAACCCAAACAGATGCACACCAAGACATATCGTAATTAAAATGGCAAAAGTTTGAATTCTGAAGGCAGCAAGAGAAAAACAGCGTCATACACAAGGAAGTCCCTATAAGTCTGTCACCTGATTTCTCTGCAGAAACTTTACAGGCCAGAAGGGAGCAGCACGACATATTCAAAGTCCCGAAAGGGAAAACCTTCAACCTAGGGTACTCTATTCAGCAAGATTATCATTAAAATAGAAGGAGTGATAAAGGGCGTCTCAGATAAGCAAAAGCTAAGAGTTCATCAATACTAAACTTAACTTAAAAGAAATGTTGAAGGGACTTCTCTGGGTGGAAAAGAAGTAAGCTGTAGGAAAGGGGAAATCCTGATAGGAAAGGCAAATATATAGTAAGGACTGAGGATCAACCACTTAAATAAGCCAGTACAAAGATTAAAAACAAAAAATTGTAAAAGCATTTGGTTAACTGTTGCCTGCAGTGACCTGGGACATAGACCCCACATACCTAATGAACTTGTAGCTGTAAGGGAAGGGCTGGAAAACTGAACCTTAATAATATCTGTTGGTTGTTACTGACTGTTTGGCAAGGAATTAAAAAGAAAGAGATG